CAAGACCACAACCTCAGACTGTACCTCACGGATGTTCTTTACTATGTCTTGCTTGCTGTCATCACTGAAGTGGGCAGTGCCCATGGCATACACCCTGCTCCCATCCTCAGCCATGATGTGGGTCAACAGTGTGTGGCAGGTTGGGCTGCTCACACTGCTGCTTCAAATTCATGTCTAGGAGCAGGCTGAAGAAGTCCACATTGGACAGGTTCTGGGCTTCTCCAGAAAACACCCTGGGCACTGATTCTGAGGCCTCTGACGTCTTGAGGGTTTCCATGTCGACCTCCTGAGGTGGATGCTTCTCCCCTTCCATGGCTGGGCGGCAGCTTCTGAGTAGTTGCAAGATGCCAGTGGCGCAGGGTGCTTCTGACTCGGCCTCAGCCTGCCTCAAGCCCACATGTCCAATGGGCCTGGGGGAGGGGCCATAAGTACAGTCTTGAAATTCCAGTTAGAGGGGAAGCTGAGGCTGTAAGATGACAGGGTTGAAATCAGGCTGATAAACTAGAAGGACATGTTAAAAACAAAATGACACAAAAGAAAAACAGAAAATTTATAACTTAACAATTTTCAGTGTCTCAATTAAATGTACTTTATTTTTGTACTTACTCTTTAAAGTACAAAAGTACATTTGACTTAAAATGGTGAATTTTCAAAAAAAAGATTAAAAATGTAAGATGACAGGGTTGAAATCAGGCTGATAAACTAGAAGGACATGTTAAAAACAAAATGACACAAAAGAAAAACAGAAAATTTATAACTTAACAATTTTCAGTGTCTCAATTAAATGTACTTTATTTTTGTACTTACTCTTTAAAGGTAAATATTTTGACTTAAAATGGTGAATTTTCAAAAAAAAGATTAAAAATGAAATCTATAAATTCATTACTTTAAATAATGTTTCTAAACAAATTATAACATATAAATGTGTACATACAAATGAAACAAAGCAAACACATTTTCTTGTCATGGAAAATAAAAATAAAAGGGCCAGCCAAATACCTCAATGGATTAAAGCACCTGCAAGCAGGCACAGGGGCTGAGGTTTAGAACCCTGGGCGTGCCGTGCTGATCAGACCCTGGACACACTGTAGATTGTTCCCTAAAATACAATAAATAATGAATAAATAAATAAATAAAGTCAGATATTTTTCTTTATATATCTGGTATTTGTGTGCCTTTCAGGTATAACTTTATTAAATTTATCTAGGACTGTCTTTCACTAGTTTTCTAGTGACCATGGAAAAATGAAATCTAATACAAACACTACAAAAATGAAAGTGATTTTTTTTTGGTATTTTTTAAAATAATTTTACTGAGAAACAAATAGCAATGAGACAGTTTTGAAACCGATCAGTAGGACAGTTTTTTTCTTTTTGGGGGAGCATTTAATTTTTATTTTTTAATTTTTTTCCATAATTTTATTGTGAAATATATATCAAAGAGATCGTTTCAAATCAAATTGGTAGGACAGTTTCAATAATTAACACATTGCATATTCTCTTCCTAGTGGTTATTTGCTGTACAAGATACAGACATGATATCCTATTTGCAAACACTATTAGAACAAATCCCTCTATTCATTAAGAGAATGTAACTATATATCTAGCCTAACCATTTTGAATACAGAGATACAAAAAGGACATTCATCAGTATCCCCTTTTTTTGTTTGGTTCCTTCATTTGAATATTATAGGTGTGTTAACTCAGCAAAATATTCTAAAAGAGTCCAGTAGTCCATAATAGCACTGGGTCTTCTGCTTGACTGGTAATGTCAGAAATTGTGGACCTGAGTCCCCTACAGCTCAATATAAAAACATGGCTTTACTTCTTATACTTCATTTTTATACTTTTCTGTTGGATGGTTATGACAAAAGTAAAGCAATACCTATGTAACAAAAATTGCAGCTTTTGGATCTGATAAGGTCAGTGAAATCCCCTCAAGATTTATCCTCAGATCCTGAACCTCAGATTG